CTGCCCCTTGTAGTGGTTATATAACTTGCATTAAAATATATATAATTTTCCTGCTAATACTTAGTGTAGTTCTCCTCCTTACAGCTTTGGAAATATACACTGCTAGCATTTAGATGTCACTTAATTGTGCAGACGTGACTTACTCCCCACTGTGGTCAATGAGTAAGCGTCTCTTAGCTCTCTGTGGTTGGCTGGTTTATTTATTGATTGTGGTTGGGACCCTGTAAAAAGGAAGCGATGCTAGATCACAGAAGGAAGAAAGAAGGCTAAACTATTTGAACCTCAGCCACAGCCAGACAACAGTTGTCATTAATGTTCTCTTTAAGTGTTTTCAGGTGAAATGACAGTGACAAATTGTGTGTATGCTTTACAGCTTTCAAATCCTTTCAGATTGATTATATCTGATCCTCGCAGCAAGCCTAGGAGGCGGGGCAGGGCAGGGATAATAAACTGCATTTTAAGGATGAGGAAATCAGAGCTCAGATGGGTTAAGTGACTTGCTAAAAGTCACACGTTGGCAAAGTGGCAGAGCAGACTTATAATCCTTGGGCATCAGTGTACAAGGGCAGTAATTGCAATAGCCGATCGCTAGGATTACAAAAATTTAATGAGCCCTCTGAAGTTTTCTTTCATTTTTTCATTATTTATTTCTCCATCAACATTTTTTTGAGGAAAGAGAGACTGAGGCATTTTTGATGCACATATAAAGAAGGAGGATAGCTGAAGCCGTTAGAGGCCTTGAGATTAAGTATAATATTTAGGTTTACAACAGTTCACAGATCGGATAGAGCCTGAGATTCAGAACACAAGGATATGAGTATAATAAACAATTCTGACATTTATCTCACTTTAATGACTTTTTAAAAGTAGCTTTGATCTTAATTTTTGATAGTCATTTTCAAATGGTTTGAGCTGTTCAACAATTAGAACAGCAGTTCTAGGGCTCCTGACCCCTTCCGGCAACTATAGTCAAGAGGCTATTTTGGTGTTTTGGAGGTCAAGTAGGAATCTGGAATGAGGTAGTATTAGAAGACTGACTTGGGGAGGAGAGGCCTCCTGTAAAGAGAGTATAACACTTGTCTTGGCAAGGAGACCCTTTTATTTAACTGTGAATGGGGTCCTGACATTTATGGAGTTCTGTTGTGGTCTTAGACATTTCCAACCACCTCTCCAAGGCTCATAAGAGGTTCTAGGGTCTTTCTCCAGGAGCAAGTTGGCAGACAACGTGGAAAGAATCAGCATGGAAATAACTTTTCCTCTGTCCCCTCCTCCATCTTGTACATTAGAAGGAAAGAGGTCAGAACCTTGGCATTGCACCTTTCGGAGTTTATTCACCCTCGGTCTTTGTGAGGGAAGGCTGCTTGTGTGCAAACTACTTTCGGGTGAAAACAGAAATTCAAATTAACATGATTCAGTGTCCCTGCCGGCCTGTAATGGTGCTTGGGACATCTGGGCCTGTGGTAGATTCCTGCTTTACAACATGCTAATGGTCATGTTATACTTTTGGAACTTGAGAGACTGGAAACTTCACAGTCTCTTTCCATTACAGGAATACTGGTGGACATTTATTTAATTCTAAGCCTGTCTTTTGTTGTTGTTATTGTTGTGTGTTGTTCTCTTTATTTTTTTTCCTTTTTCCTTTTCTATAAAACTTGTTCTGACAGCTTTCCCATTCAAGCTGTTACTGAGTTGTACCATCTCAGGCCAATGCATTTATGAAATATATTGTTGGCACTCCCCCGCGAGATGCATAAAGGAAATATTCTTATGACAGTTTGAGAGAGCTTTGATCCCGCTCCAGAACTGCACTCATGGCTTTGAAATGTGATTTTGGCAGGAGAGCTAAGTCTAGGCTCTCTGGCCCTCTGTGGGTTCTCAGGCCCATGTAACCAACATTCCATGGGCTCCACATAACCTTGACAGTGAGGGTGAGGTACAGAGGTTCCACGGGATCCATTATTTGACACTGATAAAGAAACAGTTCCAAACATAAAGCCCCACATATTAGGTGCCTAATTAAAATAAGGTGAATTGAATTCACTCAGAACAGAAGAGTGAGCCTATCTCTTGACAATTCTAGACATGTAGAGTTTACCAAAAGGAACTGTAACTTCTCTCTGCCTATGGCAAGTTGAACTCTGAGAATGTAGTTTGGGTGAAGAGGTTGGGTGGAGTCTGGGAGTAACTGTGCACTTGATTAAAAGGATAATGAAGAAGAAAGGATGGCCCCAGACTTTCAGAGCTGGAAGGGACCTTAGAACATAGAATGTTTTAGCTAGAAGGGATGTTTGATCATGCAGTATGAGAACTGTTGGAGATCTCTGAACATAGACTATTAAAATATAGAATTATAGAGTTTGAAGTATATAGACTATTAGATCTGAAAAGGATCACTTCATTTTATAGATGAGAAAACAGAGGCCTAAGGCCACATGATTAACAAATTGTAGACCTTTTCTCTTGAGAGTGAGTTTTGAATTGGGGTGGGGGGCAGGAATCAGCAAGGCGAATTTGTGAGTAATATATGAGGACAGTAAAGCACTGATGTGGGGGCAAGGAGGCAAAAAGTGTCAGCAGTAAATGGTCTGGCTCTGCCAAAGACAAGTTTGACCTACTTCATAGTTTTGCCAAGGGCCAATCCTGCCCACTGGGAACTTAGGCAAAAGTCAGAACAGAAAATTTAAAAACAAAAATCACTTTAGCTTGAGGATAGGGAGAGAAGCACCAAGGCATGCAGTAGTTGTCTTTCCCAGCCACTGATCCAGATTTGAGCCATTCCTTTTGTGATAAACATTGTCTGACAGCGTGACTGGGGAAAACGCAACAAACCTTCACACTGTGACATGTCACCAAATGTTTTCTCCTTCTCATTGAGACAGCAGGGGGCCAAGAGGATACCAAGCCTCAAAGTATTTTGGTGGGAATTACTTCATCCAGCGACAGGAACACTATTACAGAACACAGGCTGTTTTCCATTGGTGTGGTCTCCAAGGAGGGGGACTATAAGGTCTTGGGGCCATGCCAGTTTCCCTGTTTTGTCCCCCTTTAGGAAACTGAGGCCTCATAAAATGAGAAGAACCCACTTAGGAAGCAGCAAACAGATGCAGATCTATCTCCTCAGAAGAAAGGGCTTTTAAGGAAGAGAAATCTCTCTTCCCCAGAATAGCTTTCCTTGATTCCTCCTCTAATGAATATTTCCTAGCCTAGAGGTGTGGGAATTAGGGTAGGGCAGGAATGGTGAATCTGCATCCTCAAGGCCATATGTGGCCCGCTAGATCCTCAAGTGCAGCCCTTTGACTGCATTTAAACTTCACCGGGCAAATGGCCCTCTAGGTCCTCAAGAGCAGCCCTTTGACGGAATCCAAGCTTCACAGAACGAAGTTTGGATTCCGTCAAAGGGCTGTACTTGGAGACCTCGTAGAGGGCCATATATGGCCTTGAGGCCACAAGTTCCCCACCCCTGGGGTAGGAGAATTGTTTTTTCTCAAGAATCCCTAATAGCATTTGCGGGTTGCATCCTAGAGAACTTCCCACAAGGTGGGCAAATTCATTGATATGAAATAAATAAAGGATTTGAAAAACTGATCTAAACCTGACCTACAGCTGTCCTGAGGGCTGGAAGAGCTTAGCTAACTCTTGAGTTTTCATTCTCCCATCCCTTCTGGGCTACTCTTAACTTCAGGGTCCTCATCTAGTTTGGAACTAGAAAAACAAAAGAAAACAGAAAGGTATTTTCCAGGTTCCTATTCTTTATGTTCCAGGTTAAAATGCCTCCCAGAAGGGACCTCTTTTCAGTTTGCTAAGGGCCAAGGGATTAGGAGCAGCGCAGTTAGGTTTCTGGAAAATCTCTGAACTTCAGAAGGTTAGCTATTGAATTTGACATGCTTGCTCATCTTAGACATAGGGACATCCTGCTTGTTATTGGACCTCGAAGGGAAGCTGGCCCACAGCTCTAGCCCACACTGCTGCCGGATGACCCTTTATGAAAAACTGTGAAAACTGGCCTCCTGGAACCATTTGGTCTCTACAGCGCCTGCCTGCAGTTTCATACGAAATGGGTAATTGGGATGTGTCTATGCTAGCCTAGCAATTCATTTTCAAGCACTGACATCACATTTCTCGGTTCAGCAACTCATTCATTCAGAAAACATTTCTCAAGCATGTAAAGTACAAAGGCAGCAGTAGAGACACTTCATGGTATAACAAATAGTAGGTCATCCTTGGACACAGAAAGAGCTCAATTTAAATCTTGCCCCTGATACCTACTGTTTGACCATGATTAAGTTACTTAACCAGCCAAGCAGCTACCTTAGACTTCAAGCTACAAATGAGGTGAGCATCTCCATCAGTAAAGGAGTTTCCCATACTAATTTTCTTTGAGGGGACGGTTGAGACGTATAGTACCTTGTGCTAGGTTTTGCTGTATATCTACACCAAAGCTGGTGTATATGTGTAGATTTGCATGAATATTCTGCTAGCTTTCCTTTTTGAAGATGTACTACATTTGAAGATTGTACTGCATTCTCTTGCCACTATTAAGAAGGTAATTCTAAGGCTACTATCAACATAATAGTGGCAACAGAATGTAGTACAATGAAGATAGGGGAAGTGGAAGTGAACAAGCATTTATTAAATACCTACTAAGCACTGTTCTAAGAATTTGATCCTTACAATAACCCTTGGAGTTAAGTGCTATTACTATTTCCATTTTAGAGATGAGGAAACTGAGGCAGACAGAGGTTAAATGGCTTGCCCAGGGTCACACAGCTAATAAATGTCTGAGTCCAGATTTGAACTCAGGTATTCCTGACTCTAGGTCCAGTGCTTTACCCACTGTGCCACCTAGGCACTCTCACCCAGTTCTGCTTTTTTACTGACAGTTTTGGCTTGTGAACTGTAGTGCCCTGATAATACAACTAAATTTTGTTGCTCTGTTACAGCAGAAAGAACATAGGCTTGGGAAAAAGGAGGAGGAAGAGGGGAGAAAATTGGGTTCTAGTTTCAGTTCTGCTGTTTATTACTTCTGTGGCATTGGGCAAGTCACCTCCATGTTCTGGACCTTGAATTCCCCATCTAAGACTTAAGATTCCCCATAGATAAGAGGTTACCTAATGGCTGAGATCCCTTTCACATTTTAATTCCATGATCTGTGATCTCAACTTCCTGTGATTTAGGTCAACTGTCACAATCTTCCTAGAAATGGGAATTTCCCCAATGGGTGTCTTAACAGGATTCTTTTGGAAAGCTGAACTGAATTTTCTTCTCTAGTTCCTCAGCCTGCAGAGAAAAAACCATATATTTGTGAGCAGAATTCTGCAAAAATCAAACACACCTTGATATATAAATTGAGATTGTTCTTGAAATGTATAGAAACATTCTAGTGGGAAGAGAGCAGACTGTTGAATGCCAAAGTGCAGGTTTTAAATCCAATCAAGTCTAGGCTCCTCTAGCTGATCTCTTCCAACTACATTGAATCACTAATAGTATGTCATATTTCCTTCTTCCCTCCCCTCCTCTCTTCCTCCTTTCCCTCCTTCCTTTCTTCCTTCCTTTCTTCCCTCCTTATTTTCTTCCCTTCCTTCCCTCTTTCTTTCCTTCCCTCCTCCCTTCCCTTCATTCCCTCCTTTCTTTTTTTCTTCTCTCCTTGCCTCTTTCCTTTCTTCCCTCTTTCCTTTCCTCCTTTTCCTTCCTTCCTTCTTTTCTTTCTTTAATATATATAGGTATATATGTATATATTAAAGTTTACATACATCTGACACCATGTGTTTTTCCCATGAAGTCATTGCAGCCTTGTTAATGAGGCATCAGGCGAGGAGAGCCAGTTCGTGCTCTGGGCCAGTAGAAATGTGTGTATCTGTGGTTCAGTCCATTTTCACTTTTCTCCTCTCAACCCCCTGTTAGAACCCTAGCTGACCTCTTCTCTCCTTTGTCCCACTATAGTTGGCACTTTAACTTCAGTAATTAAAGACTCAAAACTCCTCCTACTTCAGCTTCAAAAAGAATGATGAAGTTGGAGGGAATCTTTGAGATCATAGTTCAATCTCTTCATTTTACAGATGGAGGAAATGAAGTCCAGAGAAGGGAAATGAAATTTCTTAAGACACTCAATATGTTAACAGAGCTGGCCTCATATCCCATGTCACTTGCCCTTCAATCTTGGGCTCTTTGCATTATACCATACAGCATGGATTCATTCACTAAACACCTCTCTTATGCAGAGCACAATGCTAGTTGTTGAGGGAGGCACAAAGTTTAAACAAGACACAGACTTTGCCTTCATGGTTAAATGACTTGTTCACAGTCACACAGTAAATGTCAGAGTCAATATTTGAATCCAAGTCTCCTGACTTGAGGGCCAGGACTCTTCCCAACACAATATGCTTCTATATTTACCATGCAATGATTTAATCCATAGTCTTGGAGAAAAAGTTCTGTTTGATCCTTTTTCTCCTTATCTGCTTTCTTCTTCTATTCTTTAGGTCACTCATCTCTAAACTTTTTTGATTGTACACTGCTATTATTTAAAAAAATGAGTACTCACCTGTAATATATGTATATTTATTTATAAATTATATACATGTACTAGTGTATCAATAGTGTATACATTGTAAATTTTCCATAAAAATCGACATTTAAAAAGGATGAGATGATATTTGATCCTAGAGTCCTTAAGAAGCCACTAAGTTTATTGAATATGGAAGTGAAATGGTTAGATCTGCCCTTTATCATGGGCAACTGAGTGGAAAATGGCTTGGACAAGGAAGAGATTTAAAGTAGGGAGACCAATTAGAAAGCTATTGCCTAGTACAAGTGAGAAGTGAGGAGGTGCTAAATTAGGGAGGGGAGTGTCATATGAGTAGGGAGAAGGGAAGAGATTAGAAAGACAGAAATGGCAAGATTTGATAATTGATTGGATATATGCAGTGCAGGTAAAGGATAGAGTTGAAGAAAACACCAAAAGTGTGAACCTGGCCACCTGGATGTATGGTAATATAGAGTAATCAAGATATTTGGAAAAAGACTAGTTTGAGGGAAAAGATAATGTCAGGAGATCTGTAATGAAGTTCAAAAGCCATCCTGTCCAAATCACTCTGTCCCACCCAAACTGAAAAGGTCCAGGTGGGACTCTTTCTAACTGGCTACCGCTCCCAGCACAGAGCCTCCCTTTCTAAGGGGACATCCCAGAATCACAAGATGATTTGAAGAGCAGAGGTGAGGTATTTTTAGGAGGAAGGGTGGTGGATTTTCCCAATGGTACCTGCATATGTGTTGCTACTCATGTTTGGGTCAAGGTTAAGCAAAAATTGCCCCAGGAACCCACATTTAGCTAGCAAGGGGGATGTTGGAAGCTTACCCAGCTGAGGGAGGAGATGGAGTAAGAGATTGCTAAGGGACAAGTGATACATGTGGCCATTGCAGGGAGTATTGATGCCTCTAAATAGCTCACATTTCCACCCTCCTCTTCACTGATCACACATGCATAAGATCATCCCACAGCCCTCACTTTATGACCACTTCTATAAATATGAAAGACACTCTTGCCTAGAGAAGACACTCACAGGCTATCCCTGTAGACAGAGAATGCTATGAAGGGCAAACAAAATAAGTAGAAAAAGAAAATAAATTGGTTTAGGGCCATCATGTGATTCTGATTAAACCATATCTGATACATTTTAGGTTATAAAATAATAAATAAACTAATCTGTAAACAGAAAAGAACATCTCTTCCCAACTGCTCCATTGAGGCAGATATGGGCAGAAAAACTCCTCATATACAAGATATCATATTTGGGGTTCCTTGTACATGACAATCCATCTCCCATCTCCATGCCTTTGCACAGGTTATCCCATATGCTTGGAATGCACTCCCTTCTCCCCTTTAACTCTTAGAACACTTAAGTGCCTTTAAAAGATCAACGCAAGTTCTGTCTCCTACATAAAGCCTTTCTTGATCCTTCCAGCTGCTAGTCTCCCCTTCTACAATTATATATCATACATATGCATGTATGTGTATACACAGATATCCATTGACAAAAATGCATATATGTGCATCTCTCTCTCTCTCTGTCTCTCTCTCTCTCTGTCTCTCTCTCTGTCTCTCCCTCCTCTCCTCTTCTGTCTAATTTCCTATGTGTACATATACATTTTGTCTCTTCTGGCAGAATGTAAGTTTCTTGAGGACAGGTACTATTTAGTTTTTGTATTACCAGTGTCTAGCACAATGCCTGAAATAGTAAGATTAACATTTTTTCCCTTAATGTTACATAAAAGAAGCAGCAGTATTGGATGCTTAAAGGCATGGTGACTTCCACACTACTGTGATTCTCTAAAAGCAGTACACACTACTGAAAGGAATAGTGAATTGTCCATCGTGATGATACACCCTTTAATCCTTTTTCCCTCTGTAGAACCCCTTGAGTCAGCAAGTTTGCCCATGCCTGTTGTGAAAATTTATTGGGGCTTAATTAGGAAATAGCAGGCACTGATCCCATCCTAAGAGAACATTTATTATCTTTTAAACAAATTCAGAGAGTAAGGCAATTTCAGAGAATAATTTCCCTAATAAAAAATGGTAAAGGGCTCAGCAGGTCAAAATCAAAATATCTGTCATTGCCAAGTGACCACTGAAAGCATGTTTAGAACTGCTGGCTCAGGAAAAGACATTTTGTACCTTTCTGGGAAGCTAGTATTTCCTGGGGTGACCTTTTCTTCCAGGCTAGGTCAGGGTCTTTCTCTGTAGCCCAAACCCTTTACAGAAATAATAGCAAAGTATATTTCTATTGCAGAGCCTACTTGGATGTCAATGAATTGAAGAACATTCTTAGATTGGATGGATCCACACACCTTAACATCTTCTTTGCAAACTCCTCAGAGGAGGAGCTGGCTGGAGTTGCAACTTGGCCTTGGGACAAGGAGGCCCTAATGCATTTAGGTAAGTCTCAAACACCAGAATATTTCTCATTGGAGACCACTTGGGTGCCAGTTTATTTCCAATGTCTAATCAGTCCTATCCTAGTCTTCGGATGATATACTTTAGTGATCTCCAGAGATATGAGGAGATGTGTCTGGTTTAAACAGATTAAGGGCTTGTTCTTGGGACAGCATTCCCCTTTCTCTATTCTCGTACTCCTATTCAGAGTTAATGGCCTTTGAGGCAGTATCATGGGTTTCTGAGTAGAGAATAGGGAGATAAGAAAAATATTGTGGAGATAGCAGTGACAAAATTTAGTAAGAGATATATACAATGGGGTAGAGTGGAGAGGTGAGGATGATTTTAAGATTGCGAGCTTGGGGGGCTCAAAGGATGGTGATTCCATGGACTATAATAAAGATTTTTGGAAGAAGAGTGCATTTGAGGAAAAAAAGATAATGTCATGAGATCTGTTATGAAGACCAGGACTCATCTATGCCTACTCATTCATACAACTCAATGTGTCCCACCCAAAATGAAAAGGTCAAGGTGGAGCTCTTTTCTAGGGTTTGTTGCTTCCAACACAGAGCCCACCTTCCAAGGGGCCCATAGAGTGATGGGTTCAATTTCTGAGTGACCCAGTTTACTTGACTGTGTTCCACTGATAAAAGCAAACTTACAATTGGTGTTGTTAGTTCACAATAGGAATTAGATATTTGAGAGAATGTGCAGGATGTTGGATAAGATTTTCCTTCAAGTTCTTTTGATCTCTACTGTCTATGACATGTAATCTCTGAGTAATCTAATCCATTAAGAAAAGGTAAAATAAGAGAAGCATATTAAGATGTATTAGAAATATCACTCAGGAGCCAGAAGACCTCACTGCAGGTATGTGGCAGTAAAAGTTAAAGATCTGGTTTTCTGGGGGAAGAAAAAAGTGTACCCAAAACACACTCTTAGGCTAAATCTCCATCACTTTATTAAATCTAGACAATAATAAGAATGAAAAAAAAACAATGAATCAATTTCATTGATTTCATTAATTTCCAAGTGCAAATGCTCATGCTGAAAATTTAATACCAGCCCTCATGATCCAATGAAAGCTGGCTGCAGCACATCCCTGCCTAACACTTATTTGCTATATGATCTCGGGCAAGTGACATAAACTCTTTAGGACTCAGTTAACACATCTGTAACTAAGTGGGTTGGACTAAATGATCTCTGTGGTTCCTTCTCTGATCAATAATCCATGTGGCGTAGTAGACCATTGGACTTGGAGTGAGGAAGATCTGAGGCCAAAACCTATCTCACATACTTCCTAGCTATGTGACCCTGGACAAGTCACTTAACCTATGTCTGCTTCAGTTTTACCATCTGTAATAAAGGACAATATTAACACCTTCTTCCCAGTATTGTAAGGATCAAATGAGATAGTATTTGTAAATTGGTAAGGCTTTTGTAAACCTGAAAGCTCTATGTCAATTTTAGCTATTATTATGAGTCATAGTATATAACGCATGGCATTGTTTTTAAAAATAGGAATTTAAGCAACCTCCAATGCTCTGACCTCATGGGCTTGGATATTCCCTCCATTGCTATAGCTCTCAATCTTGTGAACTTCTCATCTTATGTCAATTTTTTTCATGTCTTTCCATAAGTTCTCTACAATTTCTCTTGTGCTGGTTCTCTTAATATTTTTAGATACCATTAGACCACTCAGGTTGTTCGTTTGTAATCCCTTACTCTCATTACATGATGATTTCCCTTTCTTTTCTAACCCATTATTCAATTCAGTGAACAAAAATCAGAAATTGCAATAATTTTTTAGCAATATCCCAGAAACTCTATGTCTAGTTTGAAGCGTTCAGTCCTGCGATAAGAAGCCGTGGTAGAGCCAACATCTATTTCTTTCTTAAGATTGTCAGTTGATTAAGACTAGTCTCCCATCTATGATACTATTGCATATAAGAGAATTGAGCATAATACGGATGGAACCTAGTTCCTCTCCCTGCCTATTTTTCCATTTTAGATGCTTTCCGTGCCATTCCTTATCACTCTTCCAAAAGGAAGAGTTGTAGGACCACCGTCATTTAGCAATCTTATGATAATGTGGCATAGCCCACATTCATTTGAGTACCATGAGTTGGGGAGCAGGATAGAGTTTTGTTTAGTGAGGTGGGAGCACCTTTTTGCACTTAGCTTCTGGCCTTGGAACACACTAGTCCAGGGAATTATCACTTAGAAATTCACAGTAATACCTTCTCACTGGTCTTTTTGCTTACATTCTCTCCTTTGTCCATTCCTCCCACTCCCAGCTATCAAAATCGTTCTTCTAAAACCACATTTCCATAACACAATGCAGTAGGCTTTTATGAAACACATTTTGTGTGAAAAGTACTGTGCTAGGCTTTGTAAAACTTAGGAAGTTTAGATGAGATACAGCTTCATGGAGCTTACAACCTAATAGGACAGATAAGATATTAATATGGATAAACAGAGTTAGCAATATGACATGGTAAATTAGCAAGATAATTATGAAACAAAGTAGTATATGAAGTCTGAAGGGGGACAGATAATTTCCAGTCAGGAAGAGTTGAGGAAAAAGCTGGTCACCCCTCACCCCTCCAATGAGAACATTCATTACCTCTCATTAAAAGAGAGGTTAAAATCCAAACTTGTTAGCTGAACATTCAGGTCTCTTCACAGAATGTTTTCTCTTTAAAAAAAAATTATTTTATTCTGAACTTAATAAATACAACTTATTACAATAACAAACAGCTAAAAATAAAATGAAACAACATAAAAATAAAAATGAGTAAGCAAAGGAAAGAACCTGACCATTTATGGCACCACTCTTACTCTATGCATCAGGACAATAACAATGAGGAAAGGGAAAAAGAAAAGGAATCTAATTAAAGAGATATATGGAAGAGCCCAGTATAATTTAGATATTTCTTAATTCAGTAAGCATTTATTAAGGTATTAGCTCAGCTCATCAGCCACCTTTCCTTACTCCTTATTAGTCATCAATGACCCTAGTGTCCCAGCAACCATGTTGAAGACACCCACAGTTGGCCCTGATCTTGGCAACTCTTTTCCTATATGAGATTCTTCCAATGAGGCAAAGTGGAGATCGTGGCTAATGACCAAGGAAACACAACCACCTAATCTTCATCTCCTTCTCTGACACAGAATGTTAATCAGTGATGCTTGAAAGAATCAAGTTACAGTGAACGTCGCCAACACAGTCATTGATGCAAAACATCTGATTGGTCACAGTTTGATGATACAATTGTATAGTCAGTTATGAAGCATTGGCTTTTCACAGTGGTGAGTGATGCAAGCAGGTGGAAGGGCCAAGTGAAGCACAAGGAGGAGACTAAAAGCTTCTGTCTAGAAGAAGTATCTTTTATGGTCTTGACCAAGATGAAAGAAATAACTGAAGCTTATCTTGGGAAGACTGTTACAAATGCTTTCACCATAGTACCTGCCTACTTCAACGATTCCCAGTATGAGGCCACCAAAGATGCTGGAACCATCACTGGTCTCAATCTTTTCCAGATTTTCAGTGATTCAACTGCTGCTTCTACTGTTTATAACTGGGACAAAAAAGGGCAGGTGTGTAGAGAAATCTATTACTTTGGAGCAGGTGATTTCAATATCTTCATTCTTACCATTGAAGGTGGCATCTTTGCGGTCAAGTCCACAGCTGAGGATATCTATTCAGGTGGGGAGGAATTTGATAACCACATGGTCAATCATGTCTTCACTGAATTCAAATGAAATCACAAGGACATCAGCGAGAACAAGAGGGCTATTCCCTCACTGTGTAGCACTTGGGAATCACTGTGTGTATCACTTGTAAACGTGCAAAGTGTACCCTCTCTTTCAGTACCCAGGTCAGTATTGAGATTGACTCCCTCTATGATGATATTCACTTCTATACTTCTGTCACTCATGCACATTTTGAAGATCTGAATATTGACCTCCTCCATGCTTTCCCGTCCCCCATGGAAAAGGCCCTAAGGCATGCCAAACTAACTAAGTCTCTGATTCATGTCATCATTTTGGTGAGTGGCTGCACTAATATCCCCAAGATTCAGAAAACTCCTTCAGTATCAAGGAGCTCAACAAGAGTATCAATCCTGGTAAGGCTATTGCCTATGGTGCTGCTGCCCAGGCCACCATCTTGTCTGGAGAGAATTCTGAGAATGTTCAGGACTTGCTGATTTTGGCCATCACTCTTCTTTCCCTTGGTATTGAAACTGCAGTTGGAGTTAGGAGAGTTCTGATCAAACACGATACCACCACCTCTACCAAGCAGACACAGTCCTTTGCCATCAACTCACTACAACTAGACTGGCATATTCAGGTTTATGAAGGTGAGAGAACAGTGACAAATGATTACAACCAATTTGGCAAGTTTGAGCTCCCAGAAATCCCTCATGGCCCCAGGAGTGTTCCTCAGACTAACGTTTGACATTGATGCAAATGGTATCCTCAATGTTTTTTATGAATAAGAGCATAAGCAAGGAGAATAACATCACAATCACGAATTACAAAGGTCATCTAAGCAACGATGACATTGAGGTCCAGAAAACTGAGATATAGAAGACTGAAAAAAGAGAAGCAGAGAGATGGGGTATCTTCTAAAGACTCACTTGAATCTTATGCTTTCAACATGAAAGCTACAGTGCAAAAGGAGAAACTTCAATGCAAAATTGGTGATGAAGACAAACAGAAGATTTTTAACAAATGTAAAGAAATAATCAACAGACTGGATAAAAACTAGACTTCTGAGAAGGAAGATTTCAAGAATCAGCAGAAATAATTGGAGATCTGCAACTAGATTAATACTAAGCTATACCAGAGTACAGGGGGCATGACAAGAGGCATACCTAGGGGTTCCCAGGGAGTAGAGCAGCCCCATTTAGAGATGATTCATTTGGACCCACCACTGAAAAAGATGAATAAACATACCAGAAGAAAGAGCATTCCACGCAGCTTTTCAAAAATTGAAGAACTTAAATTTATAGTCAAGGCTGTGGCAGTTTAAAAGTAACATTTAAGCTATTGTGAAAATCTAGGCATTTTGGGTGCTTAAATGTGTACAGAGGAAGAGAAGTGAATGACATTGCAATTTATAAGTACTGTAAGCAAGTAGAAATGTAAGTCCTGTCCTAGAGAATAAAAACTATTTAAAAATAGACATCCCCCCTCCCCTAAAGCATTTATTAAGTACATGCTATACGCAATATACTTTGCTATGAAATAAGTGATGCAAAAATAAGACATGGTTTTGAACTCAAGGAGCTTATCCTAGTAGGAATAATTAGATATGTACCCAGATAAACAACAAATTAGTCTATAATAAACATGTAAAAGAATTAGAAAGTGTTCTTAGATTAGGAAGAATCAGTGCACTGAGTCAGGAAACCTGGCTTCTAGTCAGAGTTTTGCTATTTGTTAGCTGACTCACCTTGTGTGAGTCACCTACCCTTTCCCCAAGTCTTATTTTTTTCATCTATAAAATGAAAGGGTTGGTCTAGATAGTCTATTAGATCTCTTCTAGCTCTAAAGTCACCTAAAAATGACTTCCAGCTCGGATAATCACTGAAACCTTCATGGAGGAGGTAGCCTTTTATCTGACTCCCTACCCCCCTGCAAAAAAAAAATGACCAAGACTAAAAATTTATTCACAGATCAAGAGATATAGTTCTATGAATTATGCCTCTATTTCTGGGTCATCATAATTAGGCAGATCTCTTATACTTACCCTCATAACTTTGCCCTCCCAATTTGGGCTAAGCCACATATATGTATGTGAACCATATATTAGGGTATGCACCCAAGGAATTTTATTTTATTAAACTTATCTTGTGAATTATTTTATTGTATTAAATATTTATTAAATGATAAAGACTTATTTTTATTTTAAAAACCCTTTTTGCTTTTCAAATAACAACTAAACTTTGGTTTAAAAATACAACAAAAAATGAAACACAAAATGCCACATTTAGGACATTAGAGTATGCTTGGGGCACATGTAAATGGGATGCTTTCTAATCTGTATTCACCATTTGGATTTGTTGACGAGATTTTTTAGTATCCAGTTTTCATCAGGCAACCTCAAGTTGACTATAGGTGCTGAAAAGGAAAATAAATTTCTTGTGTAAACAACTCGTCTCTAACTCTTAGTCTGTGTATTCATTTTTCATTTCATTCAATGTTTCTCATGACCATAAGTCCAATGCATACTTATTGTTTTTTTTAAATTGAAATATGTAATGTAGTCCTTGTCTACATACTAGCCATCTGATGAGGTAAAAGCCCCTGCATGAGAACTGTACCTGATGTAGGTTTTGATTGCCACGAGAGAGACGTTATGATAAGTACAGAAAACATTCATTGCTTGTCTGACCAGTCCCTATCAATCCCAGTCAATCCCAGCTTATATTTGCTTTGTTTCCATCTCCTTGCCTTGGAGCTAAGCTAAGATGTCCTGGAGAAAAAAAAAAGGCAGGAGACAGAGAGTTTCATATTAATCTGACAAAATACCTAGGAAAGATTTCCTGTCTTAGTTTCTTGTATTCCTCCCATAGCCATCCTTATGCATTTTCCTTTATCTTTATAGAAGAAGGCATTTGCTATAGCTTAGTGAGCTTGTCATACCAGCAGTTTCACTTATGATAAAATTCCCTTGGCTAAAATCTTGCTCCAGTCTTGTTTTCCCCAAATTAACAGAGTACTGTAGTCAAATTTTATTCTGTCATCATTCTTTGGTGACATCATTTTTTTCTTGACTTTGATGGGCCACTTACAAGTTTGCCCAGCCCTAAATATTAACCTTCAATGACATGAATTTGTGTTTTAAAGTTTGGGTACATGTTTTAAAATTTGGCTCACTCCATGCTATGGAAGGTGCCATTTCTCCAAGAGTCATAAAATATACAGAAACAGAAATATTCCATTTCAGAAGGCTTGCCTCTGCTTTTATTTTGAGCCAAGTGGTACAGGATGTATAGATCTGTGTGCAAAAATTGTCCAGAAGCACCAATCATCCTGTTCCCTCCAACAAGATGTTCTTTGTCATTTTTAGCAAGGGGCAGTATATTCCTATCCTGGACCACTGTGGAAGTCATCTCAGTCAATGAATCTTAGAGCTCAAAAGGACCCAATCAAGCATCTACCTCAAAGTCGTATAACAAAACATCTGATGTCTTGTACCACGTTCTTGACAAGTGGTCATACATGCTTTGATTGGACATTATCCATGACTGGGAAATTACTGTTTCATGAAGAAGCCTATTCATTCCATTGTTGAATGACTCCAAATAATTTTTTAAAAAATCATTGTTTTCTTATGTTGAACTGAAATATGTCTCCATGTAACTCCTCCTACCTCATAGTGCTAGTTTTGTCTTACAGGGTAGCAGAAAAAGCCACAGGACAGGATTCATTAACCTAGGGTCCAGGGACTTGTTTTTATTTTTTATATTACTGTATTATAATTGATTTCCTTTGTAATCCTATGTATTTAATTTAAATTTAAAATGAATTTAAAATCATTTTTCTGAGAAGGCATCTATAGCTTCACAAGACTACAAAAAGGGCCCATCTCTCTCTCTCTCTCACACACACACACACACACACACACACACAAAGAATCATTATCATAAGATTACAGAATCACAGAGTTTGAGCTAAAGGGTACCATTAAGTGCCCCATTTTCCAGATAATGAAGCTAAAGCCTAAAGAAATTAAATGACTTGTCCAGGGTCACACAGCTAATAAGTGCCCCAAATGGGCATGAATTCAAGTCTTCCTGACTCCAAGGGCAATGCCCTATCTACCATAATACATCCATATGACAGCCCTACAGAAATTTGAAGGTCATCATCATATCGTGCTTAAGTGTTCTCTTCTCCAGGCTGAATTTTAAGGGTTTTATGTCCCTTCAAGGGATGTCTATGTAACATGACTTCAAGTCGTTTCAACATGCTGGTTTCCCATCTCTGAATATATTCTATCTTGTCATTGTCCCTCTTAAAATGGGGCATCCAGAGTAGAGCACTGTACCCTAGGTGTGAAGTTATATAGCACTTACCTTCAGTACCTCCTCTACTTGTCTCATGCAGTGAATTCCCACCACTGGTCATAGAGCTAGTGAATATCTGAGTTTTCCTGACTCCAAGTTTTGCTCTTTCTGCCATATTTTTCTGCCTTTCCTGGAGATGAGCTTTTTCCCCTCAATTGATATCCACATACATTTCATGAAGCTCCTCATTCAATTCAGTATACAATACAGTTGTTGGATAACAGTGGTGATAATGGACATTCTTGTTTCACCCCTGATCTTACTGGAAATGCTTCTAGCTTATCTCCATTATATACAATGCTTGCTGATGGTTTTTAACAGATGCTATCATTTTATAGAAGATTGCATTTGTTTCTAATTTCTCTAGTGTTTTTTATAGGAATGGGTATTGTATTTTGTCAAATGCTTTTTCTGCATCTATTGAGATAATCATATGATTTCTGTTAGGTGGTTACAGGCAAGAAATTGCATTCAAAAATAGGATGAATGTTTGGATTTAAGTTGTGAAGACGTAGTTAAGAGATAAAGATCATGTCTGAAAGCCCCTGGGTTAGGTCCTAATGGTCGATCTTTTATGTTTTAGCATTTTATGTTCCAGGGTCTTTTTCCATTTCTGATATGTATAATGTATAATTCTGTAGTTTTTGTAAACAATATTTTGTGAGCACTTTGTTGGGACCTGGTGAAGGTACAGCCCTTCTACAAGATCATAGAATCATAGATTAAGAGCTGGAAGGGACATTATAGACAAGTGAAATCCACCTGAATTCTTTTTGCCATATCTGAGGGGTAGTTACCGAATGGTGTTTTTTTTCTTCTTTTCAATGTTTCTTCAAAATTTCCAGGTACCAGTAATGTGCTGGGTGTTGTACACAACATGTGACTAGACATATCTTCCCATCTAGAGAAATTGCCAAAAAAACAAAAAAACAAAGTAAAATAATGAACAACAACAACAAAAAAGGCATGGACAACAAACTGAATAAGGTTAGGATTGGTGAGCCACCAGGAGGAAGAGCAAGAGGATTGTGTTTTTTTTTCTTTTTTGTTTCCCCCCATACATGTCTCTTTTGACTTTAACTCCTTGGAGTGAACTCCTTATCAGAATGAGTTGAACAAGATGAACTCCTGAAGTCACTTCCAATTGAAAATATGAGATTGCCTGGGGCAGAATAAGTGCTTAATAAATGCTTATTGACTGATCGATTTATTCTGTAATTCTCAGTTATATATGTAGTTTTACTGAGAAACAAATTACTCCACTTATCAATTTACCTGGTTTTCCCCTTGCAGGTGGCATTGTCCTGAATCCATCATTCTATGGCATCCCTGGGCACACACATACAATGACCCATGAGATTGGGCATAGTCTAGGGCTTTATCATATCTTTCGAGGAATATCAGAAATCCAGTCCTGCAGTGACCCATGCATGGAGATCGAGCCTTCCTTTGAGACTGGAGACCTCTGCAGTGATACCAACCCAGCTCCCAAGCACAAGTTGTGTGGGGACCCAGCACCAGGAAATGATACATGTGGCTTCCGGACCTTCCTCAACACACCATACAATAACTTCATGAGCTATGCAGGTACTTAACATGGGTTTTTATGAATGTTTTCATATAGCATGTTGGGCATAGAGACAACTGGATTGGTGGTCAGAAGCCTCAGAATCAAGTCTCTTCTGGTGTAACTCAGCAAGTTGTTTTTCCTTTAGTCCATAGTCTCCTTATTTATCAAATGAGATGATAATACGTGTTTCAAAAGTGGCACGGTGAGGATGGAAGGAGATAATGAATGAGAATTTTGGAAAGTTGAAATCACTCTATCAATCTTGACTTCTAAACTTAGCTGCATGACTGAGCAAGTCACTTTTCCAGAGTCTCTGTTTTCACATCTGATGGTGTAAATAAATCAGTACTTTCATTAAGTAATTCACAGATTTTCATGGGTAAATTGATTTACAAATGTTGAAGCACTATAGAAATAAGTAGTATTGATCTCAATAATGACAGTGATGATAGCAATAATAATAATGTCACTTTTTGCATATTGCTATTTGAAGGACATTCTAAAACAAAATCTTCCTCGTTTGTCTAAAATCTCAGATCCTTTTAAATTTTTCTCTGCATCCCGGAGTCTGTAAAGACACTATTTGGTCCATATTTTCACCCTTTATAGAGCCTAGTTTCAATGGAAACAAACATGCCAAAAAAAACCCTACCTCTGAGACTCAGTTTCCTCATCTAATAAAAGAAATAATTGGATAAAATGCTCTCTAGGATTCATTACAACTCTGGTATTTTACGTTACTTTCCAACTGGTCAGATTCTATGAACTCGAAGAACAACAACCTGCTATTATATTTTTTAGCCTCCCAGGCACGCATTGGACCTGTCCTCCAGTACCAGTGCCCTGAAGAAGTGTGATGCTCTCATCACAAATAAGGATAAATAAGATACATAAACATTCTAAAGAGTTCCACAGTATTTGCCAAAAAGCAGATTGCCAACAAGAGTAAAGATCCCTGATGGGGTCCAGATTCACCCTCCTATAGTCCAGTCACTGGGTAGTCATGATTCCATTTTATTCATAATGCTTTGCACGTATTAAGCACAAATACATGCTTACTGACTTGACTGGTCTTTAGCACCTTTCCTGTGGATAGCTCAGTGTATCAGCAGAATTAACAATAGCATGAGCTGGGATGTTTGCCTGCCTCTTGGGAGTTTAGGAGCTGCCATTAGCTACCAGACCACCATAAAATAAATCTTTTCTTCTTTTTTTTCTTTCCTTTTTTTTATAGATCTATAGAGTGATTCATTTGCTTTTTTTTTTAAGAACCACTCAGCTCACTGACCCATTCAGAGTAGAGCTAATTCACTGAGTTATAATAACAAACTTGCACCCACAAAAGCATATTTAAGGCAACCACGGCTTTGAAATGTTTGTTTTCCTTATGCTTTGTGATAGATGGTGTGACAAAAGCAGCTGGATTAAATTCAAAAAGCAGGACAGGATCAGGTTCTCAGTGCTGAGCTACTCAAGGCAGATCTGCTCTCACAAGTCTGATGGGCTCAGTAAAGTCCTGTATGCAGGAGCTGGGAATCCATTTCTTGGGACCTTGGACAACACATTTTCTCTTTTGGGACTGAATCTATCCCATTCATCATCTGATATTTTACATCTATTAAGTACTTACCATGTGTGCTGTATTTTATCATGTATTAGAAGTCATGGAGAGATAAATATGACATAATCCTCACCTTCAAACAGTTTATAATCTAGTAGTAGTAATAATAAATGTATGCAGATAAATATGATAAGTACATAAGAGTACTACAAAGTACTATGAGATCAGATGAGGGAGAATGATTTGGGAAGAAACAAATATACTTGGAGTGGGCAAAAACTAGAGATAATTTAAGGCTCTAAAAATAATAAAGATAAAACTACTTCCCATTTATATTTTATAGGACAGTAGAATCATAGATATAGAATTAGAGGGGAACTTAAGGCTTACTGAGTCTAAGCCCCTCATTTTACAGATGAGTATACTGAGGCCCAAGGTCATACAGCTAGTAAGTATCTGAGATAGAGTTCAATATCAGGTCTTCCTGACTCCAAGTCAAGTGTACTGTCTATAGTGCCACGTTATTGCCTCACTTTTATCATGCTTGTGCATTAGATCTCATTTTAAAATTGCTTAAACTAGAGCCACGATTTAGCACAGGAGGAATTGCCATGTAATGGAACTTTGGGGCTCACCACTATATGACATTTTCAGTGTTCAAGGTTTTGCAAATGCATATAAACTAAAAGGAATTAGGTTTTAACTTCTTGTATATGGCTCTCTAGACTGTAATCTCTTTGAGGGCAATTCAAAACCATTTTTCATCTTTATCACCTTAGCACTTAGCAGAATGCCTTGTAGATAGTAATCATTTGATAAATGCTAATTTCATTGAGTTGCTATATTAGTTTAGTTCTAAGGCTCTTCCCGTTCCCACTTCTTTTGCCGGTAGTGGCCTTGGGGGAAAGCACATGGGAGGACCTGGTTATCCTCTTTAATATAAACTTTAAAGATTTAGTTTGTCCATTCATTCACTTACTTGTTCGTTCATTCATTCATTCATCCATCCATTCATTCATTCGACAAATATTTTCTGAATTTTCTTAGGGAAAACAAAAATGAAATATACGCAGTAATTCTGATCAAAATGCAATAAAAATCCCATTCAATAAAGGGCCTTTGAAGTGTAGACTAAAAATTAATTGGAAACCTAATCCTTAAGAATAAGTTGGTCAAAGAACAAATCATAGAAACAATCAATAATTTCATTAAAGATGATAACAATGAAGCAAAATGTCAAAATTTGGGGGATGTAACCAATGCAGTATTTAGGGAAAATTTTATGTTTCTAATTGCGTATATCAATAAAAAAGAGAAAGATCCAATCAACATTGTACATGCAACTTAAAAAAATGCGAAAAAAACCCAACCCAACAGCTTAAAACCCCTGAACTAAATACCACAATAGAAATCCTGAAAATCAAAGGAGAGATTAACAAAATTCAAAGTAAAACAACAACAGCAAATCATTGAACTAATAAATAAAACCAGGTGCTTTTTTTTTGGGGGGGGGATAAGTAAACCATTGACTACTTTGATTTTTAAAAAGAAAGAAGAAAATGAAATTACCAGTATCAAAAATGGGTGGAAAAAAGATGAATTCACAACCAATGAAGAGGAAATAAAAGCAATCATTAGCAGCAATTTTGTCCAATAATATTTCAATAAAATTTATAATCTAAATGAAATAGATATTTATAAAAATATAAATTGCCCAGATTAACAGAATGGGATATAGAATATTTAAATAACACTATCTTATAAAATGAAATCAAATAAGCTAAAAAAAAAGCATATGGGGGGTGGGAGGGAGAGAGAAGCAGGACCAGATTAATTTACAAATGAATTCTACCAAAAATTTAAAGAGCAACTTCAGTACTACATAAAATGTTTTAAAAATAGGTAAAGAAGGAATCCTGCAAAATTCCTTTAGTGTGACAAATATGGTCTTGTTACCTAAACCAGGGGAGTCAAAACAGAGAAAACTAGAGCCCAATTTCCTTAAGGAACATTGATGCAAAAAAAATGTAGATAAAATGCTAGCAAAATTATAGCAATATATCACAAAATCATACTCTATGACCACGAAGAATTTGTATCAGGAACAGAGATTGCTCAGTAGTAGGAAAATTGCAAGCATAATTGACCATATATCTGTAATAAAAGCAACAAAAATCACATCATTTATTTAAATAGATTGGCTTTATTTATTTATTTATTTTACATATTATAATACTCATTCCTGATTTAAAAAACAAACAGGAATAAATCAAACTTTCCTTAAAACTATTAAAGCTAGAAAGAAACCTTTTCAATAAGATAGGGATAAAACAAGGATGTCCATTATCACTATTACTTTTCAGTATTGTACTAGGAATGCTAGCCCTATCAATAAGACAAGAAAAAAATGGAAGTAATAAGCATAGGCAATGAGGAAACATAACCATCACTTTTTGCAGATGGTGTGATAACTTACCTAGAAAGCACTAGAGTGTCAACTAAAAAAAAAAAAGCAATTGAAACAACTAACAGCTTTAGTAAAGTCCTAAGATAGAAAATAACCCCAAAGAAATTAACAACATTTCTGTATATTACCAACAGAATCAGTATAATCTTCATTTAAGATCACTCTACATAGCATACAATACTTGGAAGTCTACCTCTCAACACACACACAAGAATTATGTGAATACAATTTAAAAAAAATTTCACACAAATCAAAACATCTAAATAATTGGAAGAATCAGTCAACCCAGCCAATATAATAATG